GGGAAATAGGTTGGCAACCGCAATTTGTTATTGTTATTCAGCTGTTATCAGGAATATGCTGCTGCCCATCTCTTGATTTAGTTTCCCTCTGTCGCCTCTTACGACACCCACGGGATGATATTGGATTATAGACCAACTAGGCATAGAGCTTTTTTTTATAGAATTAGGGTGACAAACGAGCACACAGTCCACCTGATGGTAAGTGGTTGCTGTGGCCCATAGACATCTACATCTATCCTCGATTACGAATCAAAATGCAGATGCGTTGTCACCCGTGAGGACTAAGATGGAATGCCTCGTTTTCAGTAAAAAAAGCGTCTCCGGTTCTCTAAATATTTATTAAACATATTCGCATTGAATTCGGTTCATTCGTTGCGGAACTAACAATATATATATATATATATATATAGTTGGGGAACTAACAAATGAACCGAATTCAATGCGATAACACCATAAACCGACAAGACGGATGAAACCTTTATTTAGCCTCTTTTAATGCATTATCCGTGATGATGATGTCATCATCATCTCCAACATAAGCCTTCTTTTTATAGAATAAGTTTCCTCGATTAAGAATTAAAATGCAGATGTGTTATCACTCTTGAGGATAAAAATAAAATGCCATGTTTCCAGTAAAGAGGATCTCCAGCTGTGTTTCGTATGGTGAGTGTAGAGACACGACATTCACCAACGAAACACAACACACATAATATTGAGCTGCTATTTCACGCTCGTATTTTGTGAGTCTTTTACAGAGGCTCACTTACAAAATTATATTTACTCAGAAAAAATCAGATCCAGGGTTCAAATAAGTCAAATACGCTACCTCGAAATAGAATTATATAGAAAACTAGTTTTTATTTCACATTAAAATTTCTTAGTGAAACTTAAAATTATAGTAGCAGATTCTAGACATAGATAAATGAGTTAAGATAAAATAAAAAGAACACGACAAATCATCATTATTAAGCTATATTTTTTACAATACACTAGTTTTTATACACTTAATACTAACAATCTAGATAACTTATAATTTAAAATTAAAAATATTGTACAACCGACTTCAATATAAATTATTAAGAATAGGTAACTTAAAAATATTGGTCAGACCTTGATCAAATTTATATGAGACTATATGAGAAGCACCAGCTTTCAAATAAAAAAAGAAATTTCGAAATCGGTTCATCCGGAAAAAAGTTATGAGGTAAGACACATAAAAAACATACAGGTGAATTGAGTACCTCCTCCTTATTGAAGTCGGTAGAAAATTAAGAATAAATATATTATAAATTACTTTACACAATAAATACAAATAGTATTCAGTAGATAAAAATTATCAATAGATAAAAATTATTTAATTTTCATCACTCGCATCCGGGATAGCAGTAGTATTGCAGCTATGGCTACAATCTGTGAAACTATTGAAGGTAAGCACTGTAATAATGTTGTTTGATAATAATAATAGTTTATACTAGTACATACACGAGGGAAAGTCTTTCGATATTTTTTTTATAAGATAGGGTGACAAACGAGCACACAGTCCACCTGATGGTAAGTGGTTGCTGTGGCCCATAGACATCTACATTTATCCTCGTTTGCGAATCAAAATGCAGATGCGTTGTCACCCGTGAGGACTAAAATGGAATGCCTCTTTTCCAGTAAAAAGGATCTCTGGTTCTCTACACTTACCATACGAAACACAGCAGTGCTAAGCTGCTATTTTACGCTGGTATTCTGTGAGGGCGTGGTCCTTCCCCGGTCGAGCCGACCCATTCGTGCTACAACTATACTACTAATATAGCTGCAGCAGTGCTCTACCACGTATATACCCGATATCATTGAGAAGCTCAATTTTAATTTAAATATTCAACAAATTTCGTTATTAATATATCTAATATATGTATGTCCTCTAATGTATTTTTCATTTACAATATCAACGACATTTATTGTTTGTGTTTTATGTGTATACTTATAAAATTGTAAAACATGTTGATATAAGCCGTTGTTGCAAACAAAGTATATAGTCGTAAATGGATAGACCGCTAATTAGAAGTTGTTGTCCATGACATGTTATTAGATGGATATTTGCAACAATGTACAACACAAGATGGATATAAGATTTAAAACAATAGGAGTCTCAAATACTAATTGCAAAAGTTTATGATACAATGTAAATACGTGTGATAAAGTGTATACGCCTGTCAAAATTATTGTAGCAAATGTCAGTAAGAGAGTAATAATGCGACAATAGTCCGTCTAGCCACTGAAGGCCTTATAATAAAAGTTCAATGATAGACATCGACTACTATAAGGAACTACTAAGGGCTCACATAATATTGCATTGTGGTCTCCGCTACTTAATAAATTAACTTTATTTTATTACAATAATTTTACCGTCTTATTTTTAATTTTACATGTGTTTATAAGTAAAAAAAAAAAAAAATCGAGTGAGACTTATAGTGGTATATTAGTAGAGCCACTTTTGCTGTCGCAAGAATGGGCCGGCTCGAACCGGGGTAGTACCACGGCCTCACAGAAAACCAGCGTGAAGTAGAGGTTTACCTCTGCGTTTCGCTTGGTGAGTGCAGGTGGCCGGAGGCCCTTTTTACTGGAAATGAGGCATTCCATCTTAGTCCTCACGGGTGACAACCCATCTACATTTTGATTTGTAACAGAGGATAGATGTAAATGTCTATGGGGCGCAGTAACCACTTACCATAAGGTGGACTGTGTGCTCGTTTGTCACCCTTATCCTATAAAAAAAAATGCAGATTTTGGTCATTCCAAAATTAAAATAAGAAAAATGGTGACGTTTTTTATATTGCTTTTCCTCTATAAATCACACCGTGTCGTGGCGGTGTAAGAATATCCACTACCCCATATCGTCCCGTAGGTGTCACAAACCAGGACATAGGCAGCAGCGCCTTCCTGATAACAACTAGAAAAAAACTGCTGTTGACAACTTCCTTATCAAGGGTGGTAACTATTATAGCAAAGCAAACTATATCAAACTATCTTTTGAGGAAGTCAGAAACAGAAATCTTTGATAGGCGGTAACGGTTTATAAGTAAAGTATTTAGATATCTTTAAGTAATATCTACGAACTTTCTTAATGCCCTTCTATCAAGTATATGAGAAACAACATCGTGCAATAACTTTTTTTTGAATAATAACTTTTTTTTCTTTAACTGTTTGATGAACTCAAATTTGATTTGATTGTTTACAGAAACATTGTCACAACATAAATGCAAGCCCGACTGTTCATGTAAGAAGCTTCCACTGTGTCCAACGGGCTGTTCATGCATGGAAGATAATAAACAAAGCACGGCTCTGAGGCTGGTCTTCAACGCTTTAGGCATTCTCGTCGCAATAATCGCCACCTACATGATTATCACCACAGATTCCAAGCTGTATTTAGTGTTCTGGATATGCTATTCTGTTTTAAGGCGTATGATGCTGAAAACCAAAGCTGGCGCGAGTGTTGCGACTGCTATAACAGAGTATAATAAAAAAATAGCGTAAACTTTCTGTTTACTAAATTAGAGTTGATTTTTTGTGTGGTTATAATTATTATTTAGACTTTCATTAGACTGAATACTATTTGTATTTATTGTGTAAAGTAATTTATAATATATTTATTCTTAATTTTCTACCGACTTCAATAAGGAGGAGGTACTCAATTCACCTGTATGTTTTTTATGTGTCTTACCTCATAACTTTTTTCCGGATGAACCGATTTCGAAATTTCTTTTTTTATTTGAAAGCTGGTGCTTCTCATATAGTCTCATATAAATTTGATCAAGGTCTGACCAATATTTTTAAGTTACCTATTCTTAATAATTTATATTGAAGTCGGTTGTACAATATTTTTAATTTTAAATTATAAGTTATCTAGATTGTTAGTATTAAGTGTATAAAAACTAGTGTATTGTAAAAAATATAGCTTAATAATGATGATTTGTCGTGTTCTTTTTATTTTATCTTAACTCATTTATCTATGTCTAGAATCTGCTACTATAATTTTAAGTTTCACTAAGAAATTTTAATGTGAAATAAAAACTAGTTTTCTATATAATTCTATTTCGAGGTAGCGTATTTGACTTATTTGAACCCTGGATCTGATTTTTTCTGAGTAAATATAATTTTGTAAGTGAGCCTCTGTAAAAGACTCACAAAATACGAGCGTGAAATAGCAGCTCAATATTATGTGTGTTGTGTTTCGTTGGTGAATGTCGTGTCTCTACACTCACCATACGAAACACAGCTGGAGATCCTCTTTACTGGAAACATGGCATTTTATTTTTATCCTCAAGAGTGATAACACATCTGCATTTTAATTCTTAATCGAGGAAACTTATTCTATAAAAAGAAGGCTTATGTTGGAGATGATGATGACATCATCATCACGGATAATGCATTAAAAGAGGCTAAATAAAGGTTTCATCCGTCTTGTCGGTTTATGGTGTTATCGCATTGAATTCGGTTCATTTGTTAGTTCCCCAACTATATATATATATATATAAAATTTATAAGATATTAAGATAAAATAAAAAGAACACGACAAATCATCATTATTAAGCTATATTTTTTACAATACACTAGTTTTTATACACTTAATACTAACAATCTAGATAACTTATAATTTAAAATTAAAAATATTGTACAACCGACTTCAATATAAATTATTAAGAATAGGTAACTTAAAAATATTGGTCAGACCTTGATCAAATTTATATGAGACTATATGAGAAGCACCAGCTTTCAAATAAAAAAAGAAATTTCGAAATCGGTTCATCCGGAAAAAAGTTATGAGGTAAGACACATAAAAAACATACAGGTGAATTGAGTACCTCCTCCTTATTGAAGTCGGTAGAAAATTAAGAATAAATATATTATAAATTACTTTACACAATAAATACAAATAGTATTCAGTCTAATGAAAGTCTAAATAATAATTATAACCACACAAAAAATCAACTCTAATTTAGTAAACAGAAAGTTTACGCTATTTTTTTATTATACTCTGTTATAGCAGTCGCAACACTCGCGCCAGCTTTGGTTTTCAGCATCATACGCCTTAAAACTGAATAGCATATCCAGAACACTAAATACAGCTTGGAATCTGTGGTGACAATCATGTAGGTGGCGATTATTGCGACGAGAATGCCTAAAGCGTTGAAGACCAGCCTCAGAGCCGTGGTTTGTTTATTATCTTCCATGCATGAACAGCCCGTTGGACACAGTGGAAGCTTCTTACATGAACAGTTGGGCTTGCATTTATGTTGTGACAAGGTTTCTGTAAACAATCAAATCAAATTTGGGTTCATCAAACAGTTAAAGATAAAAAAAAAGTTACTGCACGGTGTTGTTTCTCATATACTTGATAGAAGGGCATTAAGAAAGTTCGTAGATATTACTTAAAGATATCTAAATACTTTACTTATAAACCGTTACCGCCTATCAAAGATTTCTGTTTCTGACTTCCTCAAAAGATAGTTTGATATAGTTTGCTTTGCTATAATAGTTACCACCCTTGATAAGGAAGTTGTCAACAGCAGTTTTTTTCTAGTTGTTATCAGGAAGGCGCTGCTGCCTATATCCTGGTTTGTGACACCTACGAGACGATATGGGGTAGTGGATATTCTTACACCGCCACGACACGGTGTGACTTATAGAGGAAAAGCAAAATAAAAAAACGTCACTATTTTTCTTATTTTAATTTTGGAATGACCAAAATCTGCAATTTAATCAGTACATGCATTTAGTTTTGGCGACATACGTTCTACTTATGTTGACCTTAACGCGATATAAGTGTATCATAGAATTATCACCCGGTGTATAAATTTGACCGAGAGTAGCCTTGTTTTAAAGGGCATGTATCGCACACTTGAAATTCGTGACTTTGTCCTACACTTTGCCACTATGGTGAACATTCTCGGAGTAGTATAAACAGTGGTAGAGCCACGCGGCAGCTTTTGCTGTCGCACGGATGGGCCGGCTCGAAACGGGGTGATAGGTACCACGACCTCACAGAAAACCAGCGGGAAGTAGAGGTTTACCTCTGCGTTTCGCTTGGTGAGTGCAGGTGGCCGGAGGCCCTCTTTACTGGAAATGAGGCATTCCATCTTAGTCCTCACGGGTGACAACGCATCTACATTTTGATTTGTAATAGAGGATAGATGTAGATGTCTATGGGCCGCAGCAACCACTTACCATCAGGTGGACTGTGTGCTCGTTTGTCACCCTTATCCTATAAAAAAAAGTAGTTAATTATTATAATTAAGAAAATAATTAAAGTTTTAGTTTTAATTCCAATACAATTTCTTAGTTACAATAAACATCATGTTCGCTCGCAGATTTGCACGTAGTACGACTCAAGTCAACTTTGTTCAAGGCGTATTGTCAATCCTTTTACACGTGCAGGCTGTGGACTGATTTTACGCAGCGAGCCTACTGTGTTCTACGTGTTCAGTACAACAATGTCCTGAGGGTGATGTTGAGGAGGCCTCCACACTGCAGTGCGTCGGCTATGTTTGCGGATGCTCGTGTGGACGACTTCTACGCGATCATGCGCAAGCGTGCCGCGTCCATGATGCGTCCATTCTCAGCGCGTTGGCTGTGAAGCTGGATAGCCCGCTCTGGAGGACTTAGAATGGTGCACACACCAGCACCATGAGGACCCCACCTGGTGTATGCTATGTAAGGCTGAGTATAGGTTAAGTTAGTAATATAGGATAAGCACCATTGTTACTAACATTTTAATATTAATTTCTATTTTATTTTATACTAACATTAGGTTAAGGTTTGTTTTACTAACAATCTATGATTATTGTTGGTCGAAATAAAGGATTTTGTTATTATGGTGGATATTTAAATAGTTTTCTCATCTGGCTGGGCTGCATAAATATATTAATGGAAATGATAAATACACATAAATATAAATATATTAATATAGTGAAATAAATACATAAAGAATACGTAAATAAATAAAAACGCAACAAGATGGAAGCCCTCAGCAGTGGTGTCCAAACGGCAGAGGGTTAGGGGGAAAGGAAGAGAAACCTCCGCCTCCTGTATTCGAGCCCGGAGCGGTCCGCTACGTAGTCCCAGTCGCCTCAGATGATCCGAGAGGCTGACTGGGATTAACCCGTTCGCAGAAACGGCTACAGGTATAATTTCGGTCGGCAGTCCACCCCACATGTCGGTCAATGGCCAGGTCCAGATATTTTGTTCGCTTGTCTGTTTCAGCTTTCACGAGGTTCTCGTCATACGGAATGGTAATGTTGACCAAAAATATCCAGGGCTGTACCCCGTCCATCAGCACTATATCGGACTTATTCGCAATAATAATCACAAACAGGACTGTGATGATGGCCCGGTCCCAGTAGAGTTTGGCGCAGTCATTTTCGAGCACGGCTTCCGGCAAGTATTTGTAATAAGGCAATTTCTGCTCCGCGAGACCGTATTTCAGAGCGAACTCCTGATGTAGAATTCAGGGTACTAGGTTGTGCCTGTGCAAGTACTCAGAGTTAGAAAGTGTCGAACTACCGCAGATGACATGCCTAAGTGACTCTCCGGGATGGCGACAAGCTCGACAGATGTCGACGTTGCCATCCCTTAGGATGTATCTCCGATAGTTGTTGGTCTTAATAATCTGATCCTGTATCGAACAGACAAAACCCTCGGTTTCCCCAAAGAGGTCACTAAAACGTAGCCAGTGGAGGGAGGCAACTGTGTCTACGAAAGGGTCATGTAGAGCCTTGTAGAACCTACCGTAGAGCTCCTTCTCCTTCCATACCGTCTCCCGGTCGGAAATGCTCTTACTTACTTACTTGTTATTATTATTATTAATAAGTGTCTGAAAAAGTTGCAGATCACTGATAAAAATGAAACCCAGTAATAAAATTAAAAATATCAAGCGACAGATAATTAACCTGAAAATTTATAAAAAATAAATACTTAAATATTTATTCTAATAATTATAATTATTAATACTACTAATAATTATAATTATAATTATTAGAATAAATATTTCAGTACGAAGTTGCTACTTTACGCTGGAATTTAATTTTAAGGTTAATCAACTGTCGCCTGATATTTTTAATTTTGATTAAAAAAAACAAATAACTTTTGCCGGATGTAATGTCAATATTGCTTATTACCAAGGTGAGATGTCAGACGTTATACATCATATGCAACTACTATAAGCCTCACTCGTTTTTTTTTTACTTATAAACACATGTAAAATTAAAAATAAGACGGTAAAATTGTTGTAATAAAATAAATTTAATTTATTAAGTAGCGGAGACCACAATGCAATATTATGTGAGCCTTTAGTAGTTCCTTATAGTAGTCGACGTCTATCAATGAACTTTTATTATAAGGCCTTCACTGGCTAGACGGACTATTGTCGCATTATTACTCTCTTACTGACATTTGCTGCAATAATTTTGACAGGCGTATATACACCAATACTCATTTACATTGTATCATAAATTTTTCCAATAAGTACTATTAGAGATTCCTATTGTTTTAAATCTTATATCCATATTGTGTTGTACATTGTTGCAAATATCCATCTAAATAACATGCCATGGACAACTTCTAATTAGCGGTCTATCCATTTACGACTATATACTTTGTTTGCAACAACAACGGCTTATATCAACATGTTTTACAATTTTATAAGTATACACATAAAACACAAACAATAAATGTCGTTGACATTGTAAATGATAAATACATTAGAGGACATACATATATTAGGTATATTAATAACGAAATTTGTTGAATATTTAAATTAAAATTGAGCTTCACAATGATATCGGGTATATACGTGGTAGAGCACTGCTGCAGCTCTATTAGTAGTATAGTTGTAGCACGAATGGGTCGGCTCGACCGGGGAAGGATCACGCCCTCACAGAATACCAGCGTAAAATAGCAGCTTAACACTGCTGTGTTTCGTATGGTAAGTGTAGAGAACCAGAGATCCTTTTTACTGGAAAAGAGGCATTCCATTTTAGTCCTCACGGGTGACAATGCATCTGCATTTTGATTCGCAAACGAGGATAAATGTAGATGTCTATGGGCCACAGCAACCACTTACCATCAGGTGGACTGTGTGCTCGTTTGTCACTTTATCTTATAAAAAAATATCGAAAGACTTTCCCTCATGTATGTACTAGTATAAACTATTATTATTATCAAACAACATTATTACAGTGCTTACCTTCAATAGTTTCACAGATTGTGGCCATAGCTGCAATACTACTGCTATCCCGGATGCGAGTGATGAAAATTAAATAATTTTTATCGTTATAAATATAAACCGTTATGCAACAGCAAGGTTTTCGTCATTGATTTGCGTCACCATAAAAAGTAAGGAAATAAACATCGCCAGGCTTTCTGCAAAGATCATCAGAGGAGCTCGTGCGGAAACTTTCCGATTTAAAGACTGTTTTATTTTTTGCTAGTCGGTTGGAGTGCCAAAACAATTTTTTTATTACTATAAAAACATTTATTACTGTGTAATGGTAGTGTAAGAATATCCACTACCCCATATCATCCCGCGGGTGTTGTAAGAGGTGACATGTAAAACAAATCAGGAGATTGGAAGGCGACATGCAATAATTAATAAAATTAAAAAAACTGCGGTTGCCTACCCGCTTGCCAAGCGTGGTAACTATGGCAAATATCCCCCCTATGAGGCAATCTGTAGGGTGATGTAAGTGCTGTAAAGTAAACGGTAATCACTATAAACCAGTTTTCTTGTTTACGTATAGATAGTACGTATTGGTATACTTAAAAAAAGGTTGCTTACTCATTCCGTAAAGGATACCTACGTTTTATTCGAATGGAAAAGCAAATAATTTCACTCGATTGCTCGTTCGTTCGTATGAATGCCGGGTGTGGTAATATTAATTAATCTAGAGCAGCATCTGGTTAGTGGATGATGGAAGGATGGGAGAGAAATGAAGTTTGAAAAGAAGAATTGATGAAATTATTACGAGGTAGAGCCACGCTGCGGCAATATTATGGTTCTTGCACGAATGGGTCTGTTCAACCGGGGTGAAACCAAGCTGTCGCAGAAATCCAGCGTAAAGTAGCAACTTCGTAAGCGTAAAGTGTTCCTAATGGTCAATGTAGACAACTAGTGACCCTTTTTACTGTAAACGACTGTAACACTGCTGTGTTTCGTATGGTGAATGTAGAGAACCGGAGACCCTTTTAACTGAAAAAGAAGCTTTCCATCTTAGCCCTCTGGGGTGACAACGTATCTGCATTTTGATTCTTAATCGAAGAGAAATATACATGTCTATAGGCCACAGCATCCACTTACCATCATGTGGACTGTGTGCTCGATCGTCACCTTTACTCTCGTTAGTTCCTAGTGCGTGCGCATGAATCATTTTCTCAAATGAATCTTGTACAAATCAGAGAACTATCTAATCTGCGCACGTGCTTGGGACTGACAATATCTATAACCAAATCGAGGTCAGTAATAAACGTATTAACTCGCCATTCAATCAATAAATCTGCTATATGACAATTTGCAGCAATGGTCCATAAGTGCCACGCACGTTCGTAGTTGCAAATGTAAGTATGTATTGTTCCTGTTTATCTATCAATGGACGTATTCCAAAAAGAAAGACTTTAAGAATTATTACATGCTAGCTTACGAATTGGTAATTTTAAAAGTTTATAGCCGCCTTCAGTATATAGTCTTATTTAAAAATTGAAACCCTTTTTGTTACTTGAATCATAGTTCAGGTTAATACATACATTATCTCCTTTAAGTCAAGTTTTAACTTTTTATGACACATCCTTATTTATTTATATGTATGAGGTAGATAGATTCTAACACATGAAAATTATGCTGCTATGCTATACTAATGTTAAGTACTGCTCATTGCCCGCGGTGCAATAAAATGGGGAAACAAGACGCCGCGCCGTCTGTTGCGCTCTCTGTCGCACTTATGGGCTTTATGGCGGGCATAGCAAGACATGGTCATGTTACATGACCATGTCTTGCTATGCCACATCACATATAGACACATCGACGCGACAGTTATACATGACTCATGTATAACTGTCGCGTCGATGTGTCTATTATGAAAAAATAAAGAATGCAAAATAAAAAAATAACTATTCAATAATTTCGTAAGAAATTAATACTCTTCAATTTTTCGAGATCTTCTTTAACTTCCGTTCAAATATTTGAATTAATTATTTTGTTGAATATTTTTTCCACCACATTTAATATTGCTTTCCAAATAAGCGTCCATTTTAACTTATGTTAAATCAATAATCAGCAACGTCCAAATGTCAAATGACTGGATGAGAAGCATATTAAAACAGTTATTTATACCCTCTAAACGTAATTACTAATTATTAAATTATCCTTGACGAGTTATTATTAAATTACTCGCACTTATTAATAAACTACCTAAGCAGTTATCGATAAGTGACGCACCGCACGCGCGCGTCTGTCCCTAGCGCACCGAAGATTTATGGCACCGCGGAAGAAGAATGTTTCAAATTAATTTAATTAACGATTCGTATTTTAACAAATTAAATGTACTCATATTATATGTTCGGATATAACAGTTAATCAAACTTTCAAATTCAAACTCAATCACACATAAAGGGCTAAGCGCGTTTGAACTTTTTATGAAAATAGCCTGAAATAAAAATCAAGTTTCGAGAGCCAAGGCTCAAAAACAGAACCAAACTCGAAAGCTACACTATAGGCTTTGAGATTTCTTAGCTTTTAAAAACGAGACGAGCCATAAAATAACAGCTAAAAGACTCGAGTCTCTTGGAACACTAATCAAATGGCAATACCGTTATCCATTACAGTTTAGGCTCTATTTCCGTGTACACGGCGTATAAGAAATATGAAGATATTATAGAGTCTGGTGTCTATAGACTCTATCTGTTTACTATAGAATAAAGACAAAAAAATGAGCACACAGTCGTCCGCCTGATGGTAAATGGATTCTATGGCCAATAGACCTACATTAACGTGTGGCTGCATTAATGAGGGCTAATAATTTTCTACTCACCAGATGTCGCTAGTTGATACTAAGGTAGAGTTTTTTGTTACACAGTGTAATTTAATTGAGTAATTTTTAATAAAAGTTTATCGGTTTCTAGAGTACTGAATTAATACACAAAGCAATGCGTCAGTGGTTTACTCTTTAATATTTTTGCACTTTTTTAACTTTATTTTTTAATTTTTTTACTTTTTTGAATATCAGGGGTTTGGTTTATTTATATACATATATATGTATAATAGTACAGAAAGAAACAATAATCTTTACATTTTCCGAACAAATTAAATTCCCCACTATGAAATCTGTCAAATAATATACCTCACTTTCTAGTGGTGCCGCCGTGGTGGTAGAAAAAGTCGCGGATGCCCTCATTCCAATGCCACATTGGCTCAACAGCTGAAGATGATCAATGTAATGTAAAGGCACATTCTGGAAAACAGTATAGGTATTGGGATCTGTACTCCCAGATCTGTACTCGATTAAGAATCAAAATGTAAATGCGTTGTCACCTCTAAGGGCTAAGATGGAATGCCGCATTACAAGTAAGAAGATTCTCTGGTTCTCCATACTCACCACAAGAAACAAAGCAGCATTAAGTCGCTATTCCGTGAGAGCATGGGCCTTTCCCGGTCGAGCCGATTAATCCGTGCCGCATATAGTGGCGTAGCTACCCAGGGGCTAGGCGGGGCAGTGCCCCGGGGCCCCCAAGCTAAAGGGGCCCCTCGGCCTCCAAGAACGAAATTCGAAAAATTATGTACCATCCTAACTGTATAAAGAATTTTCGAGTTTTAACTTTTTGGCTCCTGACCGCGAACGGCTCGAATTGAAATTACAAAAATTACTCCCACTTCCAGAACATAAATAGAACATTGTTAAAGATAATTGTCTACTTCGTCTTATTGTATTTTTTATATAGAAGAGGGGGACAAACGAGAATGGGATTCACCTGATGGCAAGTGTCGACCACCGCCTATTAGCAAATAGCACCCCAGGGTAATTGCAGGCGTGTTGCCGACTTATAAAAAAGGAGTAAGCTCGTTTCTTGAAGCTCTCTAAGTCGTATCGGTTCGACAGTAGTGGACCGCCAAACAACCCAATGACGTGAATTTGTGAAATGCGTTGATGACATTTTGTGGCTGGAATTAATCCGAACAATTCCTCTGAATACTCCCCGTGGTAAACCGATAGAAAAGGCAAAAAGGATTCAGTATCTCTTCGTAGTGTGTCGAATGCGAATCGAATCGATCGGAGAGAACTTGGTCGTCGATGATTGGAACCTCTCAGCGCTGAATGCGGTCAAGTGGAAGGAGCTGGTACTAGGGAGCCCCGGCCTAGGGATGAGAACAGTATTCCATGTTAGGCCGAACCTGTCCCTTGTAAAGTTGAAAGCAGTGTGCCGGCATAAAAGGCATAAAATACTGTCCCTTTCTGTTGAGCACGCCAAGCTTTTTAGAGGACAATTCAGTCTTCCCTTCCAAGTGACCACGAAACTGCACGTTATTCGATATGTCAACGCTGAAAATTCCGATACTGGCTGCGGTAACAAGGGGAGTGCCCTGAAATTGAGGAGTAACGAAAAAGGGGTTCTTTTTCGTGGTTAACGCGCAAACTTGTGCCTTCTGGGCTTTAAACTTAATTAGATTTAGTTGCTCTAATCCGAGACCTTATCCGGCAAAGAATATACTTCAGACACAAGTTTGTTCCGGACCTCGGTGACGTTTTCCCGAGAAATATAGGCACAGCCGGTGTATAAAGCATCACCAGTGCACGTTACTGGTTTGCAACTTATTATTGACAAGTAGAAGAAACCGCATAGATGATAGCATATAGCTATGTGGAACACCAGCATAAATAGGCTTGTAAATGGAGCATGCACCTTCTACTACGACTTTGTTGCTCCAATCTGCAAAGCTTCGAATGAAGCGCTTTGTGCCAAACCCGATCGAAGGCCTTCGCTATGTCCAAACTAACGGCCAGGGTCTCCCTCGCTGCCTTTGCCGATTTATGAGTCAGGTAAACCAAAAGATCACCAACTGACCAACCCCGACGGAAATCGTACTGGCGGTCACTTTTCTGTTGGTGATCCTCAACTTTGATGAGCTAGCAGAGAAAGAGTTTTAGAAAAGACATGTTACGACTGGTGCCAACTAGGGAGCACACGTCTTCAGCACAATGGGAGGAACTCATCAGGCCCACTAGAC